AAAAACCAAAAAAAAAAAAAAAAAGAATGAGATGTGTTATGTGTTGATGTAAGAAAACGCCCTGTAAAATATACTATATAGCAAAATAAAGTACACATAGTATATGAAAATGAACCCAGAAAACCCCAATATACATAAATATACTTTTCTCTATCAAAATTTAAAATAACTATCTAAAGTTGCTGCCTCGGGGGAAATGAAATGAGATGTAGGGGATGGAGCTGTCACTTTGCATTTTGTAACTTATATATGATACAACTGCTGTACTTTTATATGAATTATTTGTCTTTTTTCCACCACTCTGCCCATTTTTCCGTTTTAGTTGTTGCTGGAATAAGCAGGAAGATTACGAACTAAAGATTTTAAGAAGAGGTTAAATAAATGAAGGGTTTTAAAAAATGGTTGTGTAAAGTTATATAAATGAAATCATTAAATTCCTACAAGAAGGTAACAGAAATATAAAGAGTTGTAGAATCTTAGTGATTAAAAACAAAAGACTAACTGTTCTGCATTCTCATTAGTGCATCCTTTGAAACTGAAGTAGTATTCAAATTTGTTAAATTATACCCAAAAAACTAAACAAAACATATCTAACAGAGAAATCAGATTTTTAACAGAGCTATACTTAAACTTCCAATGGCAAAAAGCTTTTCAAAAATCTCTTAAAGAAATATAGAAAAGGAAAAGTATCCAGTATCTATCACAATAAAATACAACATCTTCATATGAGCAATTATCTTTTCATAGCCTTTTAATCCAAATGTAACCACTTAAAAAAACCCTCAAAATTCCATTTCCTCTTAAAATTCATGAATGAAAGAAATTCACTGGGCTACTTTTCAAGATATTAGTAGGATTTAAATTACTAAATATATTCAAATAAAGAACTTACCTATTCATGGCAGGGTCATTCATGAAAGCTCTATAACCCTGCAAGTAAAACTTGCACAGGGTCAGTACACCCAAGGCAACAAAAGAAACCGTGAAGACCAAGCCCAAAAGAGAGTAAGGAGTGCTGCAGCATTCAGCAATACTGGAAGAAAGTGGGGGAATTAATATTATCAGACTAAATCTTCTATTTGGAATGAAAGCATGTAAAGCCTCTCAATAACCACCAAACTTGTTTACATCCTCATTAAATCATCTTAAACCAGAAGCTGGGATAAAATCAACCAATCACTCCAAAATAATTTAAATCACATTATTATTCAAAACTACATTTTTTCTACCTCTTCAGCAGATATCCAGTACATAGAGCACCATATTTTAAACAAGGTCTGTAAGTGTTTCATAATCATCTATCATCTCTAAATATAGTAAAAATCAGAGTTTAAAGTGTTGTTCAAACCTTAAAAAATAGTTAAAATGCTGGTAAGTACTCAAAAGAATCTTATACTGCTGTCCATTGTTCTTTCTGAGAAATGACGGCTACTGGAATTGTTCAGACTGTACTGCTAATATGGTTACTTGTTAAAATTCATTATTTTACCTGACTTGTATGAAGCGTGACACACACACAATCCTCCAACTACAGAAGTATCAAACATAGTACTGGTACTTCAATTTTAATTTAGGTTTAGATAAATAAAATTTTAAAGGGTTACTTTACAAACATGCCCAACACCACTATAAAATAATTTTAGTATCAAATTTTACTAACAATTTTACTGCAATACCACTTATAAAGTAACTGTAAGACCCACTAAAGCTTAGAAATACTTTCATTGAACATATTAAAAATTAACTTATGGGTATAAGTAAATTGGAACTACAATGGACTAATCAGTTGGACTTTGCATTTATATCATAACTTAGAATTTCATTTATATACATGAGGAATTCATTCAAGCAAACCAACGCCTGTCATAGCAAACAAATCAATGCCTGAAATGTACTATATAGTATCATGCTTCTGTGTATCTTTCCCTATAAAATTATTTATAGGTTATTTTTTATATGAAAATGTCTAATTTTATATAGACCCATGTAGTGTATTAGTGATAAAGAAAAAAACCTAATTTTTCTTTCAGGAGCCACAATAACATATCATAGCAATATGTTATGAGAGTTGATAGCTAAAGGAATAAATAATTTAATGACATTCTTACAAAATCTGTATTTCTAAAATGCTTGACATTGTTCTGACAGAAATCACTAAACACTTAAGTCATTAAGAATGAGAATCGTGACTGAAAATACTAAGATTTTATTTCATTCTCACTGAAAAAAGTCTAAACAGCTCACTAAGGGTTCACTGTATTTCTGTAGTCATCTCCATACTTACAGCAATTGTTTACATTCAAGCTGTATGATTTAATTATATATCCAAGAGGAGTACATTCATTTTTCTCTCACTTAATCGAAGAATTTGGTACAAAGAAAGCATACTAAAGAATTCAAAAGGGGGAAGTGAAAGATCTGAGGAAGTTTATTACAGCTTTTCTTCCCCACACTCTTCAATGAAAGATGTATTTATTGATTTTAGTTTCTATTTTGTCTGTGAAAAAAAAAAATCATTTTGTTTTTCAGGTGCCTGCATGTGCTTTTCTGTTGTTTTGTGTGTTTAGTCAGGGTATTTTGGTAAACTTCCAAGCCTCTTTTTGTAAATCAGTTGTTTTTGACAACAAAACACATAAAAATATAACCTGACACACAAAAGCATCAAGAAAGTCATCAAACTCTTACAGAGACAAATTAAATTAACAAAAGAACCAGTAATATGGGAAACTTCTCAAACTTCTCAAATCAAACCATTCTCATCTTGAGAAAAGGTAATTTATCCTAGCTATGTGGAGAAATACCATAAAAAGTCATTTTGGCAAGGTATCTAAAATCTCACTATTATTTTCTTTGCAAATAAGTTCAAATTTATCGAGTTTAGTGACCTGTTGAGCCTATTATACTCTGCGCTACATTTTGAATCTGACTGTGTTATAACAATACAGTTTAAATCTCAATCAACTGCAGCCCCACACTGTAGTTACTAACAACAGAATTTTATCTCTTTAATATCATTTTGTTTTAATTAAACTTAATTTAATTTTAATTTTATCTCTTTAATTTGACTTTGTGGATCATTTAAAATTTCTGCACAAAACCTCAATAATATTTATATAAAAATACATACTAAACTTATTTAATAATGAATTCATCAAATATGTCTGACAGTGACATAAACTTACTACATTTTTCCACAAGGACTTACAAAAACTAAAGATAATTTATTTTCACAAAACACAAAACCTGACTATTACTTGTTAAAATAGGTATTACCAACACATTTGATCGATTTATTGACTTAAGATTTGTGTTAATGTTTTCAACCTTAACAAATAACATGCTAATTTAGGGCTAAACATTTGTCTTGTATTTCTCATTCTCTACACCACTAGGTACACAGTCCCGCAGAGGACCAAATGGCTGAAAAGCAATGGCTCTGTTAGCTACAACGCAAAATTTGTATCGCTTTTTATTTATTTCCAGGAAGACAGGTCTTCATTCTTGTCTTTTAAGTGACAATAAAGCAAGGAACCAAGATGAACTGTATACCAATATGCTAGATTCTGAGGGCCTGCGGTTCAAACTTAGACTGCAAAGAAAAACACATGTGGATCTAGCAAAAGCTCACACTGAAGATATTAGGGTGAGAAACAGACTCAAATGACAAAAGACACACACAAAACAATCTAAACTAAGTCTTAAAAACCAAGTCCCAGAATTTTCTTGAGTAAAACATTAAAGTATTATGATATATCCAGTTCACCAATTATTTGTACCCCAGTACTGAAGCAAAACATTAAATGAGGACACAGTAAAATGTATAGAAAAGTCACAGTCTTAACTTGGATGGGGCTTGAGTCTACTTGCCTGGGCAAATTACTCTTGGTAGTTTCCTCAAATATAAAATGATACTGACAATGAAAGTACTTGCCTTTCAGGGTTGCTGGGTTAAATGTGAGGCAAAGTGCTTAATAATGTGACATATATTGAATACTCAATAAACAATAGTTATTTTTTAAAAAGAGTCTTCTTCTCTGATGCAGAAATTCAAAATTGAAAAAATACTTAAAACACTTCATTACATACTTCCCCATAAATCTTATGCTGAACTTTGCTTCCAGGACACCCAAATATAATCAGCATTTTTCTTTTAGTGTTTTCCTACACTGCCAGACTAGGGTACCCAGTGAATGAAAATCTTACAATTAAATATGAAGTCATATAATATGACTTATAGAAATAATCTTCAAACTTAATTACACTTACATCAAAATTTCCTCTTCCTGTGGTCACAGATATAAATATCACAGGCTCTAATTAATTACCTTGTGAGAAAAAGGAACAGAAGCCTCTCACGTGATGCTGGCTGATCTCGAGTACTGAAGTAGGAATAAATCTGAAGAGCAAATAAGACGAGCCAGAATACCATGAATAGAACAGGGACTACCAGCTGGTTCCACAAGGACATCCCCAAGGCTAGAAGGCCATATACCTCCACTACCTGGATAAGAAAACAAGACAGGAAGACATCCTGTATCACCTTCAATGGATACTTTTAAACAAACACTCAAATGTGTTTAAAGTACTGTGATAAAAAAATAGCTTTTCTTTTGTTTGCAAGATCCTTTCAGCAAAATTCCTTTAAAGTTAGTTCTACACACAGGAATTTGCTTTTAAAATTTAGTGATTTTGACATTAAGATTCAAAAGGGGCTGCTATGGTGACAGCAAACTGCCCCAACAGCTCAGGAATGAGGTCAAAGTAAGATCATGTTCACAACAAAATTACCTCACAGGTAGTTTGAAGAGAGGAGATAAACACTCTTGTCCAATTAGAATGATCAAGATTAGCATAAATGATACAGTACTGATTAAGAAACCAGGAAAAAGGGAAATATAAAAGTAATTTTTCAGGGTTTCTTCAGGAGTAAGTCAGAGGTAAGAGGTAGTTCAATGGAAGGCATAGTTCTGTCTGTGCAGTGGAGACATTTACTCTATTGCAAAGATAATTCTTTTCCCCCTAGACAAATTAATTCCCCATGCTCCTACTGTATATTCATCAAGCAACAGTTTACAATTTAGTTTGCCAAGCACACTAACACTCAAGAAAAAGGTACATATTTAAAAAATACTAACCTATTATAACTCTATAAACTGGTTTTCCAGTTTATAAGACAATCTCTTATAAAAATGAGTAACAAAAATCAATTCCCAGAATCTCATTCAATCTAAGAGCATAGCTGTAATTAAGTTTTTAGACTTAATTTTTTACTAAGCCAGGGCCCAGACCCTGGGAACCCAGTACAATTCTGCCAGGCAGCCTAAAAATCCTAATACAGCAGCCATCTGGTCTTGCTGGAATTTCTCAATGTGATACAAGGATGTTCTGATAATCTACAGAGATTTATGAGTATTAAGTTCAAATACACTGATTTGCAGATTGGTTTAAGTTTAAAATTTTTTCAACAGTAAAACAAATGTTTTTTCTAAGGCTTAATTTCTCATTTTCCCAACTAGAAAATATTTTTTAGCCAGGTATGGTGGCACATGCCTATAATCCCAGCACCCAAGAAGCTAAAGCAGAGAATTTCCATGCATTTCAGAGCAGTCTGGATTACACAGTGAGTTCAATGTCAGGTTGGACTACACAGTCGGACTCTTGCTCAAAAAAAGAAAAAAAGAAAAATTTTAAACAACTTGCTAACTAGCTACAGTATATTATTACTACTAAAGGCAAACTGATTACTGAGAGGTAGAAAGTAGGTTTCCTATTTTCCATTCAAGGCACAAATCAGTAAAAAGCCTAACAGTTTACATTTCTTGCTTATCCAATTTTTCCCAAGGAACAAATTTCACAATCTATAATTTATTTCCCACTGCTGTGCCTCATGATCCATGAATCATATGGCAACCAAGGGAATAAATACAACATTAAAAATGAAGACTTTGCCTTATGGAAATTAAATATTTAATATTCAAGATTCATTAAATACTACGAACAAGGCTAGCTCCACAAAATAAAATTCAACAAAGTTAAATTTGTTATTCTTGCTCTGAAAATAACTATGTACAGCCCTTTGTCATGAAAGATTTCTACACCAAGGGCATGGAATGATCTCTTCTTTGAAAGATTTACTTCTGGGAAACTGTCCTTGATAATTATTAAGATGAAGAAAAAAGGTAGAATCTAGCTAAGGCCCAGAGCTTAATTATGGAATTTTTTTCTAGGTGATCTGCCCAGGGGCCACAAGAGAACACTTCTCTCAGTAGTACTGGTTTGGTCAGTCTGAGAGATTCCTATACCATAAGGTCACACACATACAGTGAAAAGGTAGAAGAGAATAACCATGTTAACATCCTCTTTTTACACTGATATCAGGTTTAAGGATCTATCTTAAACACTGAACCTTAACAAATGAAATAGAAACATTAATCTCCCAAATGTCTACTGTTTGTATTTGAGAGTGATTTGTCTCACAGCAAAGGCTAAAAATGGGAGAAAGACTACTGCAAGAAGCATGTTTTGTTGTCATTTCAGGCTCTTACAAAAATTCCTAACTAATACAACCCACAACTATTTTTCAATTTAAATAAATTAAGTAAATGAAGGGAAGAAACTGTAGCCACAGGAGGACTACAAACGGAACAATCAGGATTTGATCATTAGGTATTCGGTACTTCACTATTTTTGTCTTCATTACAATAGCTAACACATGCTGAACAGCATCTGCTGGGCACTGAACTCATTTAAATCTCACAGCCACCTGATGAAGAAAAGTACTGTTAAAGTACTGTTATTATTAGCTTCGCTCCACACAAAGTGAGGATAAGTGATTATCCCAAGGTTATGAAGCTGGTAAACAGCAGCCTCAGGGTATGAACCCAAAAGTCTGCTCCCAGAGACTCAGTTCACTTTACAGTAGCATTTTACAGTAGCGTTCTTGACAGAACTTTGTAAGAACGAAGCTTGGGTGCTCCTAATTGGGCTAAAAATAGCTGCTGTTTTGAAAGTGTAAAAAAGCATGTTACCAAAACTAAGATTGTGAAATGAAAATAAACTGAACAGTTAACATTAATGTGGAATGTTATCCACCTGGTCTTACCTGAACCAATTCTCTATACGCAGACTTAGCAAGGTTATAAGGTACTAAAAGATTAGACCCAAGAAAATAGAGAACTTCCAATCCAGTAAAAATCATAGCAAATTTGTTGATGATAACAATAGTTTCCAGAGGAACAAGGCAGAGTCGTGCTAGCAGAGGAAGCATGTGAGCTGAAAAGAGCCAAATCTGCTTCGTTTTCATGACACACGAGCATAAAGTACACACCACCAACTGACCTAAAATGAGGAAAAGAATGCTTTTAATTTTGAGCACCTGGTAACCACAAAAATAAAAAATACTGGTCATAAGGATGAAAAAACAGCTACTGAAGAGGTCTAAGGTTTCTTAGGTTTTTTATTTTTTGTTTTTTTGTTTTGTTTTGTTGCGGTACTGGGAATCGAACTCCCAACCTTGCGCTTGCCAGGCAGGCTCTGTGCCACTGAGCTAAATCCCCAGCCCCCTCTTAGGTGTTTTAAATCATATTTTAATTTCATCTGACCATAGTTGCATACTCACATTTACTGTGAATTCTAAATACTAATTCCTCAGGGCCAATTTGAAAAATGCAGCCCAAATCTCCACTGGTCTTTATCATATTTCTGATGGCATATATAAAATGAAGAAACCTCTTTTTAAATGTCTGAATGAATTTTACAGTAATTCAGTTAGTACACTTCAAATATAGCTCCTTTTCCAAAGGTACTCAACATTTAACTGTTCTGCACATCAGGCAGAAGCATAAATTCTAAGAGATACAATTACCTGTTCAAGACCACACTACAACAAGATGACTTATACTGTGGTTTTTCCTATCTTTACTTTTAGAGACCATGTATAACTCTCAGTAACTTAATCATCAAAGTTAAAATGGTGTAGTTCAAAGTCTTCTCACAGAGAACTATACAAAAAAACTGTAGAAAATTAGAAATACAGAGAAAAATAAATCCTCAATCTTCAATACCACCACCCAAATAGCACTACGCATACTGTATCCATTAAATGAAATAGTAAGTATAAAGCTTTAATGCTGTCTGAAATGTGGTAAGTGCTCAATAGTTAACTATTCACTACTTACTATGTTTTCAGAGTTATTCTATGCATATGATTATATAGAAATGTTTACTCTGTACTCTAAAATCTTTCATATATTGTCTTTGGGTTTATGAAGGAACTTCCTATTTTTTTCTAAGGATCTACTCTGATGACAAAGCCACCCTGTTCCATTTTAATGACTTTTCTTTTGTACGGAATTTCTTGGAGATTCTTAAACATGTTATCTTCCAGATTAACAGTCATTTAGTCAAATCTTCTTCCTCCTTGCCGGTGAAAAGCAAAATATAACTTGGGGATTTGTATTTGTGCTCCATTCATGCAACTGTTAGAAAAATACACATACACACACAAAAAAAAACAAAAAAACTAGGGGGTTCGGGGGTATAGCTCAGTGGTATAAGTGCCTGCCTGGCAAGCGCAAGGTCCTGAGTTCAATTCCTGATACCAAAAAAAATATAAAACAAAAACTAGGCCCACAATAAGAAAAATACAAAACTGGCAACCGTTTACACATGCTAAACATTGATAACAACCTACTATAAAATGTACAGTATTTTCTCCCACAAAGCATTAACTTTTGCCTTTAAAGAATTAATATTTAAAGAATGTGAACAATATTAAGTGTACAGAAAAGAGAAATACTAAAAGTAAACAGGAAAAGAGGCCACCCCACCAAAAAAGATATTTCAACAATATTTTAGAAGATGAAAACAAGAGACAGGAGCCCCCCCCTGCGGTTTTAGCGCCATCACTCTTCAGCACACTCTCAGAAGTTCACTCACTACAGACAGTGAAACAGGTTCCCGGGCCCTGGCAGAGGTGAGGTGCCCAACCAGGAACAGGAGATGAGCACGCATCTCACAGGTCGGGCTCTCCCAGTCCCCAAAGCACTGCTGTTAAGTTTATCACTCAGTTCTCAGCAGTGTTCCAGGCACTGCCACCAGCCTGCCTACAGGAAAGAACCTTTTCTGAAGTTGGCCAGTCCAAGTCAAAAGACATACAAAGACTGATACTCTGGTCCTGCCCGCAAACAGCCAGTCTTTAACTGACGAGCCACCAGGGAACACACAGGTCGGTAAACCCTGAAAGTTGTTATTATCCCAGTAACAATTTAGTAACTCCCTTTAATACAAATGATTAAGAACCTCTAGGCATTTAAGAAAACTTATGATTTAATCACTCTCAGATATAGCCTAGACATCAGTACGTATTTTTAAATATATCCAAGTGATTCTAAGTCAGGCTTCAGAAACACTGCTCTCTCATGAAATACAAACACCAAAACAAAGAAACAGAAAAAGATCTGAGCAAAGGGAGCGAATGTAAGTAGCAAAAAAAAGTTTCAAAAAGATAAACAGGGACACCCACTTGGGGCCCTTTCTATCTGTCTTAGAAGCTTTCTTTCCCCCAGTAAATATTTCCTGCTCTTAAAAAAAAAGATAAATAATATCTAAGAAAATCAAGATTGCCATAATGAAGCATGCAGTGAAAACAAGCTCTGAGATATAAAAAATATAAAATGAAATTAACATACAACAAAAGGGTTGGAAGATAAAGTAGGGAAATCTCAAAAAGTAAAACAAAACACATTCCCTTAAAAAAACACAAAAATAACAGAAACAGCTCAAAAGAAGGAAAATACAATACATCAACAGTAAGAAAATTAGGGGCTCAATGTAAGAGATCAAAATTCAATTAACAGGAATTCTAGAAAGGAAAGAAAAAACAGGAAGAAAGAAATTATGAGCTGGACGTAGAGACCTCTAGGGAATGACACAAAGAAGTGTGGATGGGTGATGCAGCAGATGGCCAATTTTCATCATAAAATTGCAGTAGTTTTTAATGACTAAAAATAAGCATACTTCTTTGATTAAAAATTTAAAAACTGAATCTAAAAAAAAAGGGCTTGAAAAAAATGCTTTAGGGGGCTGGGGATTTAGCTCAGCAGCACAGGACCTGCCTGGCAAACACAAGGTCGTGAGTTCGATTCCTGGTACCGGAAAAAAAAACAAAACAAAACAAAAAAAGCTTTAGTAGTAAAACTGATTAGAAATTTTAATCCTGGCATATTTTCTTTCTTATATGCAGGGGTACAATTACATGTCCTTAGGGAGCACGATGTAAACTCCCCAACCCTGAAACTCCCATCAGTCTACACCAGTGTATGCAGCGCTCAGCTGTGGCCTCCTCAGCTTCTTTATCTTCTTTCATAGAAGAACATGACTCATGACATATTCTTGTTGAGAGAAGACTAGTCATATTGTTTAGGTGAGAAAAGGAAGGAGTCATCTTTCCAGTGGAATCTTCCTTGTTGCTCCAAAAAAGTTGTCCTTTCATGTGCCTGATTCAACTAGTAATTCTGAATAAATCCAAGTCACAAAGTACTCCTTGGATTTCAAAGTTCTACTATTAGAAATATCTCCAAAAAATCTGCAATCTTAAGAAATCATGAAATATTCAAATACTTTGTTTTTCAATAAGTTTATTATAAAGTGGAAGAAATAGAAAATTACCTTAAATAAAAGTCAGAAGAAAGGTGCTATTTAACCGTTCATAAATATAGTTTCATTTTGTTATTATCAGAACACTTAATTAAGTGAACAGGTGACCATAAGTCACTGATAGGCAGAACATAAGGAAAAATCTCTCAGGCTTGTATTAAGGGGCATCCATGACAAAACTTTATAAACTTTCTAGCTAAGTAAATGTTACCATTATTACATATACCAACTCATAACATACAGTCATAAGTAACATTTTGTGTCTTGCTGTCCTGACATCTACTTTGTGGAGATTGCTGGTTCTTCTGCCCCTCGACGAAACCTAAAACAAGCCTCATAACTTCTACTCTGGTTTAAGCTTCAGTCTCTATTTAATAGTAACCAAAACTGTGGAACTGATTTAAAATTGAGACATCTCTCTTACTGGACTTTGGGCCCCTCTCCCTACAGGACTACAGAGGAGAAACTTGAAATCTGGACAAAAGGTGGGATGGCTGTGGTTACCTTCTTCCTCTTTTCAACCTAGCACATCTTTCTCTCATCCCCGATTCGCCCATGACTGGAGCAGGCAGGGAATGAGGAGAAGGGTACAGGAAAGTTCCTAGTTGGCTGTTTTCATAATGATGTGTTTCTGGTGCTCTCTGGACTTGAAATACTTAAAACTGATTCATCTCCTTTCTCCTAGGCACTTTCATGAGATCCTCTGAGACTGCTCTCACCACTATGTATCTCTCCCTTGCAGCACACTTGGCGATGGTATGCACGCTCCACCAGCTATTGTTGGCTCTGTTTCCAGTTCCTGGGAATATGAAAGTTCTAATGCTGTTTGGGTCGCCTCATTCCTCAAAGGGTCCATCTAAACAGACTAAGAAAATCCCACAGCTTCGTGTAACCTTTATCTTTATCAAACTCATCCTTTGTTTCCACAAATCAGAAGATGCAGGAAAACTTGACAAGGCATTTTCACTTCATAGTCAAAAATTCTACAGGCAGCCAGCTTATCACTTGCCTTTCACATCAAATTAAAACTGAATCATATTATAATTTAAAATTTTCTAGCAGCCTCCCTTCAAAGGCTGAAAAGAAACAAATAAAATTAATACACTTTGAAAATATCCCAAATGTTTTCATATACCATATATTCATTCAATCTATACTAAAAGGTGAACAATGTTCTGTGCCCCTTTCTGTGTAAGTAGAAACTGGGTGTGTGGGCATGGCACACCTTAATCTGGAACAGCCCCATGTGGTGAGGCCAAGGCAGTGCAGCTCTGCACCTGGCAGGCCACAGTCAGTCCGTAGCACCCTCCTGCTCCTCAGAAGACATGTGACTCTCCAGGTCCAGTGCTGAATGCTCCACCCTCACAGGGCTGGGGAAGTACTTCAGAATACAGCCATTTCTCCAGAAATCTTCCTTTAATCTCCAATATTAAACTTTTTTTTTTTTTCTGTATTTTTTGAGACAGGGTCTCGCTATGCAGTCCATGCTGGCCTTGAGCTCACTTTGTAGCCCAGGCTTGGTCTCAAACTCGCAACAACGATCCTCCTGCCTCAGCCTCCCAAGTGCTGGGATGACAGGCATGAGCCACCACACCCAGCTTCCAATATTAAACTTTTTAATCTTTCACGTAAGTTAAAGAATAATATGTTTTCTCTCATTTCTTTTTTTTGCAGTTTGGCATGGTAGGGGTCTGCAGGTCACTTCAGATTTTATTTGTATTGTTTTTAGGCCTGTCAACATTTCTGTTTTTAACATTCTGCTATTTGTTTCCATAACATTTCAAGTTCTTGATGTTTCTGCAATTTTTTTGACAGCAGGGTGACGACTTTCAAAAACAATAATCAAATTTAAAATAGTACATACTGTTTTAATATTTCAAAGTAACAGTTACCTCTGTTTAAAAATTAATCTTCCCAAATACTTAAAATAGCCTTTAAAAAAAATTAGTAATTATGGGCTGTGTATAATTATAAATATATAAACTAAACACCTATGCACAAGGAAAAAAAGACTAAGAAATTATAACATTAAATGACAGGTGTATCTGGAAAGAGATGTCATAACAATTATGAATTTTTATTTACGTGAATATTACCAATTTTATTATAAAGTATGAAGAATGGTTGTTTCCAACTCATACTTTTAATTCTTTTTTTGGGGGGTGGGTACCAGGAATCGAACTCAGGACCTTGCGCTTGCTAGGCAGGCACTTATGCCACTGAGCTATATCCCTGGCAATACTATTAATTCTTTAACAATACATACCTATTAAGGCTGTGGTAAACCGATTCATGGAAAGAGGCTCCAAATACATTGGTCCTTCATAGGCAGACTCCAGTTCACTCCTAACATAGTCCCTAAAGAACAAAAATGCTAAGAATGTATTGGATGGAAAAAAGGAGCAGTTCAATCACATCATTCTCATAAAACGTGTGTTAGTAGCTTTTCTTTCTGCATCTAAGGAAACATTTATAAAGAATTATACAAATATGGTCTCCATGTCTTCCATATACTAGAAACACACATAATTTATTGCAACTGAAATTTACAATGCAGACAAGGCTGCCATAGTTCCACTTTGTGGAATTTTCTTGCTTTCCATAGCCTTATTCATTTTGTTTGTTTGTTTTTGTTTTTTTTTTCCAGTACCAGGAACCAAACTCATGACCTTGCGCTTGCCAGGCAGGCGCTGTGCCGCTGAGCTAAATCCCCAGCCCCTTATTCATTATTTTATACCTAGAAAAAAGCTAGTTAGGACCTCATTTCTCAAACCTACTACTTACCTGAAAATATACATTAAACTTTCCCCTCTTTTAGCTTGCTTAATTATCATCCCCAAAGTTCGTTTCCAGTTACGTTTTATTAGATACCGACAAAACTCAATCTAATGAGAAAATTGTCCATAGCATAACAATCCTTAAATATTATTACTTTAAATCTACAGGTAACCTATGATGAGAATTATAATATTCAAATAGGCTAAATATTTATTTTGAAACAAATATTAGGTCACACACACAAAGTACTACTTTTCAAGGAATATTTAATGTGTGGACACTGAAAAATAGAAACCTTTAAGTAGTAAGGTAAGAGCCTTTTACACTGAGAATATATACACAGGAATCACAAAAAGAAATCTTTACAGTAAGTAAGTTAAGTAATATTACTGGAAGACACTTGCCTTAAGTTCTTTTTTAATCAAAGGGAAATATGTCTTTAAAAATCCTCTTCTTTAACTGCTGAATGCTTTATTCATCGTACTTTAAAATAATTTGAATGTTTCAAGTATTTCTGAACTAACTCAAACTGTGTATTTACTTTTTCCGTGAAATTATTTCCTGTTAGGCAATCAAGCTGCATTCCTTTAGCATAGCATAGCAAAACAAAGAACGACCCTTACATAAGCAAGCAGCAAAGTACTGCTAAGAATTCTAACTTTAAAAGTAAAATTAATTTTTTCTAAAGAACAGGAACAGTTTGGGGATGACCAACTAAGCTCCACAGGGAATCTAGCAATTCTCTTCTATCACTCTATAATGACTGCTTTTAGCATACAATGTTTTCATAGTCTCTTTCTAACACAAGAAAAGTCAGACTCTCAGGAATGTTTATCAACCAGGGGCAAGTGTGCCCCAAAGGGACATTGTGCAATGTCTACTAACATTTCCAGTTGCCGGAACTGAGGGAAGGGTGCTACCAGCACTCAAGGGGTGTTAAAAGCTAAGGATGCTATTACACATCGTACAATACATGGGATAGTTCCCCAAAGAATTATCTCATCTAAAATGTCAATCACACTGTGGCTGAGTAACCTGGTTTTAATGTAAGGAAGTATAAATGCTATATTTGCAAATAACACATAAATTCTGATCATTATAGGTAACCACCAAAGTAATTATATTTCATACACTTCTAAAATAGAATGCTAATTAAATGAATTATGAAGTTTAAAATATGTATGTAAATATTATTAATAGTTACACAGTCTTTGAAATGCTATTAAAGAAATAAATATATATTTAAAAGAAAGAAAACTAAGTCTCAATACTACCTAAACCTCTAAAGATCAGTAAGTTCTTCATGGAATATACTTCGCTCCAGTTGAAAGGCGACCAAGCAAAACCCACAATTCAGTAGCCTGGAGGTTCCCAGGGGTTAGGGACAGAGGGAGTAGAGGTAACTACTTAATGGGTACTGGGTTTTATTTTGGGGTAACTGAAATGTTTTAGAATTAGATAAAGGAATTACATGAAAGTACTACATGCTACTTTAAACTGTTTAATTTTATATTATGTGAATTTTGCATCAATTAGAAAGGTATATCAGCACAAGAGTATTAACCCCGAGGGGAAAGCCAAAAGGTGCCCATAAGGGTCTCTGTCCCAGCAGCTTTCTTACTGAGGACTGAGTAGCACAGGTTCCCTGTCATGTTTGCTGTCCCCTTTCATTCTGTCACACTGTTGATGCTTCATAATGTAACTCAGCAAATTCCACACTACAGAATTGCTTCCTGGTGAGACTTTCATTATTCTGCATTATTGCACAGCTTTAGTTGATCTATTTTTTTAAATCTTCTTTTTTATTTTTAAGAGTTTCTTACCTTAAATTACAGAACAAAACCAACAAAACTAAGGAAAATTAAAATGCTCTGTAGTTTTTTTTTTAATTCAAAGAAATTAGTGTGTATAGAATATGTTGCTAGTACTCTGCTAGACCCTGTTGATAGTACAGTAGCTAAGATACGGATCCTGCTATGGTAAAGCTCACAAACAGAAAGAACTGAGACTTAAATGTGTAACTATTTAATGATAACTGCAAAAAGTGCTGTGATGATTACAAAGTTTTTTAAAATTCTTATTATTCAGTTCATAGCCCTAATTAAAACTTTCATCTATTATTCTCTTCATTTCTATTTTTTTAAACTGCTAGGTTATTTTCATTTAGCTAGTTCTGTTATTTTAAATATCATTTATTTTACTTATTCTATTTTGTAAGATTATAAAGGGTCTTAATGTACATATTTCCTTTTATTAAACCTTATTTTCCATTCCTTTATTTTTTAAGACTCCTTTTTTCTAATCCATTTCATCATCATTTTCTTTTTAATTCTTTTTCACTTTCTGTATATTCATTATTTTGTGACATGCTACAACTACATGACACTAAGGGAGGTTTACATTCCAGTATACCAAGTAATCAACCTTTAGGCCACAACCACTATTCCCTGATGTGAAGCAATTTCTTCCCACTAGCTCTTCCTTTGTCCTCCTCTGAGAACCTAAAAATGGTTCTCTCCCAGTGCTGCAAATTTCCCCTTCCAACCCAACTGATCCCATATGTTAATTAACCTGCTGTAGAAATTAAATCTTCCCTAGGTACCACCTAGGCTCTTTCCCTTTTCTCAATTCCCCTTTTTTGCTCAAGACAGTCCCTTCAGAATCCTCCTTGCCTGTAAGTCATACATTACTAAAACCAGCCAAGCCCAGAAAACCAGCAGACCTTCTGGGCCAGTTGAGCTGAGCTTCCAGAGGGCAGTCTTACTGGCAAGGGCAAAACTAACTAGTATGCCATGCAGCCACTATGGTACTATCTCTTCTAAAAGAATACTCTGGGGACTGCATGCTAAACTGTAGAGAAGTGAAATTATGATCAATGTCATAAAGACGTCTATGTCTAATTTATGTACAACTTCAGCACATCTTATTCAGCAATGACAATTTTTGGCTACCTAAACCCTCCCAACAGGAAGAGTCACTTACAAGATTAAATAAAGAAGAAAATACAATAAACTGACAAGAAGGATCCATAGGAGTTATTCAAAATTTTGTGAGTTATTTTAAGTTAACTATTAGTTGAAGGCAAGAGCCATAAATTCTAATTTTAATGAACATTTTATATCATGTTTTAAGTATCAGATGAGCTGCTCAAGGGGAACCTAACAAATTTTCAATTTAGAAGATTTAAATAATAAAATGTATTAAGTTGATCAGAAGTCAGAATTCTTGCCATTCTGTTTGTAACTGAATAGAACTTTTTCCTGCTTTTTTCATTCTTGCAATCTATAGAATGTCAACGATCAACCCTAAGCAATAATAAGCCAGACACTTTGAAAATGTTCTCTAGTCCTCTGGGATAGTGTCTTCTCTTTTAATTGGAACTGTTTGGGGGCATAAGCAATGTGAAGGATGCATGAAAAAGGCCTCAAGGATAGCTTGCAATTAGAAAAATTCTTACTAAAAAGAGGCATATAAGTTATAAAAATAAACAACAAAAAACCTACGAGCTTACTACTCCCTAACTGATGAAAGACTTTTACCTAACAGTTTTTTAAGCAACCTGACTGGACAAGCTAGGAACAATCTGTATATTCTGGCTTTCAAAAGATGTTAATTCCAAAGAAATTTATTCTTCTTTCATACATAACAAAGTAGGGAGCCCTTTATGTTTGTTTTTCGCAATATGGGCAAACAAAAAAGCACCACTCAGTGTAAGAGATCTCAGAAACTGAAATGTTCAAATACCTGTATTCAAGCACATACTGTACATACACACCTACTATATACACTCAGCACTATCCTAGCAATTAATTACTCATTCTAGTCAAGGTTTATTGAAATTGTTTGGGGCCTCCCTCCAGTTTCTTTCTGCCCCTTCCTGACATTTAACACTTGGATTTCATATGTTCGATGGAAGAAAACATGAAACACAGGTCAATTTCACTTCTGTCAAACTTTAAAAGTTTAGTACATAAATGACAAAATTCATTTTAACAATTCCTTAAGGCCGGGCATGGTGGAGTATGCCCATAATACCAGAACTCTGGAGGTTGAGGCAGGAGGATTGCCATGAGTTTGAGGCTAGATTGGGCTACACAGTGACTTCAAGGCCAGCCTAGACTACATAGTGAGACAGAAAGAAAAACTCAAAAACAACAAAAAACCAATCCCTTTATAGCAGTCATTCTCAACTAAGGAGTTTTGTTCTGCAACACAGTATGTGGCAATGTCGAGGAACATTTTTTGATTGTCACAACTGCTAGAACTACTGTCAAGCAGTGGTTAGAGACCCAAGGCAGCCTCCACAGACAAAGAACAAGCAAGTCCAACATGCTAACAGGTTAGACACAGAGAAACTCCTTATCTACAGCTGTGAATTATGCAAGTTTTCACCAGACAGTGGTCAATTTGATTCTTACCAAAATGAAAAGACTAGTTATAAAAGATAAAACTCAGACTGGCTAAATGAAGTTTTTTTTTTAAAAAAAAAAAAAGAAAGAAAGAAAGTCAGTTTTAAAGCTGCCTTATGAAATTTGAACCCTTTAACTAAAAATTTCAATCTTAACATCCATGTGTCATGT